CTTCGAGCATGTCCGACTTACGCCATTGGCTGACGCATTTTCCTGTCTGAAGCCAGTTATACTTCATTAATCTTGCTTCGTCCTGTTAAATCTGTTTTGCTATTGGATTGGTGCAATTCCAGAAGTTAACGTTGACGGTGATATGGAGCATGTGGAGAGCGAGGTGAAGTCAGCAATGAATTCTCAAGCTGGTTACAGCTTTTTCATGGCACTTGGCGCAACTATTGGGGCGGTCATCGACATCTTCGTTGGTTCACTAAGCGTGTTCTTTGCTAAGCACTGCTTGTAGACAGTTGTAATAGTTGCAAGAAACACCGCATCATGTGAGCGGGAGTAGAGGCAGTGGCCACAGCGTTGCCTCGGTTTACTGAAAATTGAATTGCTCAGAGCTCAGATTCTTTTCCGAATGCAGTTTTTGCAAGTGCATTTCTAGACCGAGTATTTGCGCATTTCTGTTGCATTTGCGGGCAAAATTCTTTGCCTTTTTATGCATTTGTGCTGTACACCGCTACAGCAGCGCAGTAGCGCTGTTACAGACAGCTAAAACGCATAATGTTGAGAGCCTTCTGTGTGTGTGTGTTCGGAAGCGAGTGCGTTTTGTTACCCATTTTCATCTCAGCAACCAAGAAAACTGGGAGGCTGAATTTTAGTGTATATATTCCTGCCCCGTGTGTCATACCCCCGTTTCAAGATGTTCCCTCTACACGCGCTTAAAGAAAATGTGCAAATTTCTTTGGCGGGAAGCGATTTCGCGAACCAGGCAAGGTACAAAGCTGAAACCTTGCAGGGGTATTCTCTCTGTATTTGCGAGCTAAAAATTTTAAATCCATTTGCCATGCAAGCTTGTGCAACACGTACGATCACGTCAAAATTTGCGATTCGTTACTATGCTAACTAGAAAACTTGCTGAAGAACAACGGCTGAAATTTTGTCAGGATTTTTCTCTCCCATACAGAAAATAATAGTATGCTTAAAATGAGTACCGATTTGCACCTGGGCTACGACTTAGGGCACTTCAAAGATATTAGTAGCAAAGCGGACATTTCGTTTGCCAGATAAGCTGCGAGGCTGAAAATTCGCTGGGATGTTCTACTTTCAGATGCGGTCTTAATTTTGGTTGGGGACGGAATTCCCTCCAGGAACGCGTGAGAAATACTCAACTTTACCGAAAAATCAGAAATGAGTGCGTTTTGCAGCGAACG